AAGATAATTTGAAGCACAGATATTTAGTGGGCAGAAGCAGCCAGCTGAGAAACGCAATGTGGAAAGCAAGCAAGGCGGAAAGAGTGGCAAGAAAAATTAGCTGTTAGTTTATAATGGGATGTGCTAGTAAATTCCAAGGAGGCAGCTCTCAAAATTGGGCCTTCTTGGCAGGGGTAATCATCAAGAGGGAGTTCCCCTAAGATATACTCTCTGAGAGCTTCTGGCTTCTCCAACAGGAAAATAATTTAATGGTGGCATCATGGATTTTTGAAACTGGGAGGGACCTTGGAGACTATTTATTCTGAGTCTCTCAATTTCAGAGGACAGTGACTTGAAAAATCTAGCTAACTTTTAGTCATTGACCTAAATACTCTACATGCATTAATTCTCAGGCCACTCTAATAAGGTTGCCATTAGGTGCTGCAAGTCAATTTTGACTCGTAGTAAACCCTCGTGACAGTAGAACTGCCCCGTAGGGTTTTCTAGGTTATAACCTTTTTGAGAATGGGTCATCAGGTCTTTCGTGCAGCTGCTGAGTGGGTTCAAACTTCCAAACTTTTGGGTAGCAGCCTAGTTGAAATTGACTTGAAGGCACATTCTAACAAGGTAATATTATCCTGTTTTACAGATGAGGTTCAGAAGGGTTCTGTGATCTGTTTGAGGTGAACCTGGGGTGTGTAATTCCTAAGCCCAATCCCACCTGTTACTTGGCTTCCTTAAACTCACACATCTAGTAGACTGATCTGTGATGCTGACACACATTTATCTTTGCATGGTTTTAGGAGACACATGAGGAGGGGGAGGAGAGCCTTGCTTGTCCCAATTTTTCTACTTCTGTAGTGATACCACCTTGGAAACCCCAGGAGGGATCACTATGAGTCAGATGTGACTCAACAGCAGTGAGTTTGGTTTTTTGGTTTATTGACCCAGTATAGGAGCTCTGGTGGCATAGTGAGTAAAACATTTGACTGCTAACCAAAATGTTGGCGGTTTGAACCCACCAGCTGCTCCTCTGGGAGGAGATGAGAGAAAGATAAGGCAGTCTGCTTCCATAAAGATTTATAGCCTTGGAAACCCTATGGGTAGTTCCACTCTGTCCTAAAGGGTCACTATGAGTTGGAATCAACTCGATGACATTGGGTTGGGTTTATTGGCCCACTGGTGACCAAATATGACAAAGAGGGAGAGTGCAAAGCTGAAGGACTGCAAACTGACAGCCTTCGGGCCAACAGTCTTATAAAAGTATTTAGTAGGACATATTTAGTAAGACCCATTTTGAGTCTGAATGTGCTTGGGAAGGCTGCGTCCTCTCTATGGTCTGACACTCCACCTCTCAACCCACATATTTGTTACTTGCTGATCCCTACTGGCATTTGAGATTTTGATCTCCAGTTCCTGAGAGTGTAGGAGTAGCAGGGGAGAGTGAAAGAGAGAGGGTGGAGGGCTGAATGCCGAACAGGGAAAAATGTAGTGAGTCTAATTCCTAAGGATTAATTGGCTGAAAAGACTTTTAAAAGCAGAAAACATCTAATATATTTTTAAGTTGATACATACATACATATATATATATATATTTTAAGAACATAATCTCACTTCTATATGTGATCTTCAATTCTTTGGTAAAATGTTTTACTCTCATGAATGCCCATGAGAGTGAGCTTTTGGTGAAAACTGAGGAAGAAGCTGGACATAATATCTGGATCACTAAGCTATGGACAAAGACAGCAGCTTGGGACATGGGAGGTCAGAGCCAAGGATGCCCTAGAGCATGCAAGTCCCTTGGGGATATCCAGACATTTTGGAAGGCTGTGGAGTGGCATGACCTGAACTGTTGTTGTTGTTATGTGCCGTCGAGTCAAACCCGACTCATAGCGACCCCTCCTTGGGTTTCCGAGGCAGTATCACTACAGAAGTAGGATTGCCTAACCTTCCTTCCGAGGAGTGGCTGGTGGGTTTGAACCGCCAGCCGTCTGGTTAGCAGGCAAGTGTCTTAGCCACTATGCTACCTGAACTGTAGGCTTGACTTAATCTTATCTATGTAAGACAGACATGGCTGAGATAATGGTGTTTGGGGAGCCTAATGGCTGGACTTCAGTCAGAAAATTATTTCTATCTGACCCACTGGGGGTGACCAACCCTGATGTAAGGGTTGCCTTCCCTACCTTCCTCCCCTTGAGACCAGCTCCAGAAGCTGCAATTGATTTGGGGTGTGTGCAAATTGGGAAAGT